CCCCTGCGGGTGCTGATAGTTAGCACGGGCAGGCCGGGAGCTCGGCTGCAGGTGCTGCGCCATGCCACGCGCGCCCAAAACAAGGTGGCATTTCCAGAACGAAGCCTGGGAAAAGGCTGGTGTTGGAACAAGTGGGAAAAAAAGGAGACCAAAATGTTCCCCATCCTCCCCCTTAGCCGGGGTTCAGTGGGATTTTCTCCCGGCTTTGCTTGTTTGGTGTGTTCAGCGTTTGAGATTTGCTGCGTTCGTGTCCTGCTTGTTAGCTGTGCCATAGAAACGCTGTGAGCAGCGTGCTGTGTCTTGGAGATACGTTGAGGGACAGGAAAGTTTAAACCACTTAAACTGCAAGACAAAAGTGATACGAGCAAACCGTTATAACCTGGCCATGACTAAATTTAGGCTGGAAAGTGAAAGGAGGTTTCTGAGAAAGCAGCCTTTGTGTAAAAAGTGTGTAAAGTCTTTGGAAAATGGGGCCTGGAAGAGCAGAGAGCCCCAACAGCCCACGCTGTCTGATGTGTTAGTGCAGTTTCCCTTCTTTTCCTGGGCTGATCTATTGGGGGAACATAATATTTCCATGGTGATTTTCTGCGTTGGAGGGCTATGGAGCGTGCTGATTACACGAAAAGGTATACTTGTATCAATGCAATTGTGTTTGGCCTTTTTTTAAGCTACATCAAGTAGCCAGAGAGGTTTGTGATTGTACATATGACCCCAAGCTAGTGTCAGGGTTGGTTTAAGGAGCAGGAATCATGCGCTAATGGGATTTCTATTTTGAGAATGAAGAATTGATGTTATTGATATTAGAGCATGTTGGCAATAGGTCTCTTCAATAGGTGAATATGCTTCTAAGTCTGGTTATTTTTTATAACACAGATGTATATCTATTTTTATAAAATTTAGGAAACACCAACAAGGCTGATTTTAGAGTTACAGCCTTTTTGAGGTAATAGTGACGTATTGCTCTTCTAAAACATAGCGCTTGAGGCCATAGTGGTAATATGCTGCAGATGTTTTATTACTGTGGGAGAAAGCAGTGCTGTAAAGTTTAATCCTGTGCTAATATATCTGTTCCGTGAGTGAAATGCACAGGCATAGTCCTAAACACGGAGAAAATCTGTGCACATTGATAGATGCCTTTGATGTGATTAAGACGTTCCCAGTAAATGATGCACCAGATGGCACATCAAAGGAAGTTGCTCAGATTGCATTTCAGAGCTTCAGCTAATCTTTAAAGCGTGTGGGCTACCATCCATGCTGCAACTTTTTGCATGAGTTATTTGTCCTATATTACCTTGTCAAAATGTGGTGATCTTCTCCTCTTTTACCATCATGTAATACCGAAAAGTGGTGGAGGACAGGAGGGAAGAGTTTCAAACCACGTTTGGCCCCAGATTCGGGGATTCCTGGCTATCTCTTCGGAAGAAGCTGGCTTTGACAGGACCAGATGTGTGGCTGTTGACCCTGTTTTGGTCCCCATTTTCTCTGCCGTTGTCCTCTGTTGTTCCGTATCTGTTTCAGTCGTGTCCGCTGCTTTTCTGTGTTTCAGGGAAGGTATTCAGCAGAGATGCTCAAGGATGCACAAATGCTGTAGAAGCAAGTGGGGTAAACTTGGCCCGGTGGGGTGCTACAGGAAGCCCCATCCACGCTGAGAAGAGCTAACCCCTCAGCAGGCTGTAACGTGAAACCATGTGGTCTTGAGGAGCAAAAATGTTGATGGCTTTCAGGGAGCCAGTTATCTGCAGCTGAAGCTATATGGCTTTGGTGAGTCAGATCCAAAGTCCAGCAGCTATCTAGCCCCAGTTAACTTCTTCCTTGTTGCAGGATTTCTCCGGGTTTACTTGCACTCTTGATATTTGTTTTGCTGGATTGGGATCTTACTCATCATCTCCTGAGTTATCTACTTCTACTGTTCCCATTTGGATGTGAGGTTCAGTTGTTCTCTCAGCATTCGGAGAGGAACAGTCTCCTTTTGACATATCAGTAAATGTGTATTTTTCTGTAATCATCCATTACATGTCTAAGCTTCATCCCCTTGATTTAAATCTGGAGTGGGTAGAATCTAGCACTAGCACTAGCACAAAGCCCAAATTTACCCAGCCGTAATGTATGACTCATCTCTGAAATGTTGCCAAGTTCTGGGGAGGCATTATCTAGTTTATTTGTATGCATCTCTTTCTTTCAAGACCTCTTCAAGCACTTCGCAGTAACATTTCCAGAAGGATAAAAGTTATTTAAATGAAAGCAGCTTGTAAAAACCTGCCAGGTGCTATATGGAAGTTGGGAATATTCGGAGTACTTGGCTTTTTTCAGGTAGTGATCTGTACCTGCCACACTTGGTCCCCATAGTTGCTGGTTTCTGGTGGACACCGATTAGCTGATGTCTCCCTATTTTGAAGGAGCCTATAAGCCTAAAAACCATGTCTGAAAAATAAAGTAAACTTTGTGTGGCTGATAATTATAGTTTACCGAAGGTGATTAAAATAGGGAATTTTATAAAATCAATTTACTTTTCAAGAGTTATCCTGGTTGTTTATCTTCTAATTTTTTTTCTCATCCCAAACAAGGAAAATAGGTGAGTTGGTTTCATTTCCATTTACAGCCGCTTTTCCCTTCAGGCTTACAGTGCTGAAATGTTTGTGGGGGCTTTTTTCTTGTAGCATAGAACGGGAATCACTATGATCTGCTTTTAAAATTTATCATCTCCTCTCTCTGTTTATTGAAAGGAAGTAACAAGTGAGTAAAATCTAAGGAAAGATCTTAGAAACGTGTAACAATTATTGTAATGATTTTTATTGTAGTAGTGGCTTAGATTGGGATCCATACTGGCTTTGCAGACAGATACATTCAGGATGTATCAAACGTACAGCAAAGCTTATTTTGCTGCCATAGGCACTCACATCGCTCACCTGATAGGAAAAAGACTTTCTTCAGCGTTTTTCTAGCGTAGTAATTGAGTAGCCCCTGCACTTGCAGAGAATGAAAAGGAAGAGAATATGAATGCAGGCATTGGTTCTCTGTGGCTGTTCAATGCTGGCTAGTTTGTTGCCTGCTCTTCTTTAGGAGGGGCTTAGATCTGATCGTTTAAAGTCAGTTTACCTTCTTTTTAAATTTAAAAAAAAAAGGAGGGGAGGGGGGAGTGAAATCTCTGTTTCCAAATGAGTTTTGTTGTCACAGCAACAAAAGAGGCAACATGCTGTGAGAGTGCCCCGAGTCCTCTAGCAGTTTATTGGGCCAAGTTTGCAATCAGCTTCGAGTCTTTCTGCGGAGTGTGTAAAGTCATTTACCCCCTGGCTGGAGATGACGCTAGAAAGTTGATTAACTTTCCTCTTCTCTGCCCATATTGTTTCATGCTTTTCTGCATGCCAAAGGGGAAAAGCCATTCTCTAGTGGGTTGATATGCACTGTGTGGCCCATACCTGATGAGAGTTGTTAGGTCTCAGTGTTTTGGCTGGTGATGTGGCGAGACGGCTGCAGATGAATTTCCCAAAAGACAGAAAAAGGGTGAGGTGGGGAAGAGCATCAGCAATGCATATTGCCTGCATTTTAGCCATCTTGATTTGTCCTCAGAAAAAAATATTTCAGTTAGTTAGGAGGATAAACCTTTCTGTATAGATGTTCCGGTTATATTTTGTTTATCCTTGGTGTCCAGCTGGGTTGCTGTTGACCATGCTTATTTTAAATGAGAGGAATGCTATGGGCTGGAAAGCTGCAGCTGGCAAACTTCAGATAAACAGCCTGAGGCTGCCCGAACCCCATTCTTGATTGTGTTGTTGATACACCTATTTTATTTTTTGCAAGCTCCCTTTTTGTGGCCTCAATCCCCATATGAAAATAGGAATAGTGCTACCTGGGGTAAGTCAAGTGTGCTACGATGAGCAGTGCAGATCGCACTCGTCTAGCAGCCGCACGCCTGTTACGGCCCCTGCCCTGGAGGCTGCTCTGGCTGCAGGCAGGGCAGGACTTGGAAGTGCCATCTTCCACCTCAGTGTGCCGTCCCAGGGCAATTTAACTGAGGGAGGAAGCCCTCGAGGATAATAACATGTTAAGTTTCTACGGCCTTTTGCTAAGGGGATATA